TTAACATAGAACAACCACAAAAAATATATCTCTCGCTGAGTTGAGTAATACACGGAAGAAATGTTCACTGGAACTTGAATCTTTTTTTAGAATTATCTGGATTTGATAAGATTTTGATTTATATTTTAATTTTGATCATTATACGTATATGTTCATTCACAGTTTTGACGATTTTATACCGATGACTCGTCCAATGTAACTTATTATTCCTTATTTTAATAATTTTTGATCGATTAGATCATTGTCATCTTTGCTATTACAAATTTGAATTAAAATAATGAAGAAGCATTTTAATAACCTTGTTTATAATTATTACAAATTATGATTAAAGGTTTAATTAAATCTGTATCAATGTTAACTTAACATATCACAAGGTGTTCGAGCCTAGCTTTGGTCAATTACTACAACTCAAACATGTGCTAGCTCGACCGGGGATGTAAAACCCTCTCACAGAAGATTGGCGTGAAGTAGCTTTTAATAGCTGCTTTTCGTCCGATGATAGAAAGCACCGGTTGCCCATTCCTTTTCCCACCCTTACCACTCGATCTCCCACAATCAAGGTTGGCAACGCATCTGCAACATCTCTTGTGTTGCAAATGTGTTGGTGTCTTCCATCAGGTAGGCATTCTGTTCGTTTGCCCCTTCTATATATATAAAAAAAAATATCAGGATTTACTCTACATGACAGTTTCTTCTATTTCCTTTATTCCTTTTATGGAATTAGTACCTATTTAATAAAATGTTTCTGTTCATTCATCAAATGTTTACATTTATGTCACAAATCTCAAATATCAAGTTTTATCAAATACTCCGCTCTGCTACCCTTTGGAGCAGTAAAAAATATATGTACGTAAACCCAATTTATAGATAAGGTCGTTTATGCTCCGTGGTGCATATTTTAAGGCTAGCAAGGAAACATTGTTTTTAGAAAACCTCCAATTGTCGTTTAATTCCAAAAACTATAAAAAAAATATTTTTGTGCAATTGAAGGTAAAAATAGCAAAATTGATATAAAATTATAGTAAAATATTTCGTTTTTGAATTAATTCTGACCATATTAGTAGGTATATGGAAAAAAATTCACAGATTGCAAGTTGAAATTATATTTTTGTATTAATATTTCTAAAGTTCATGTTGTAATTAAGCTATAAATTAAAAAAAAGTTATTATGATGACAAATCATCTGCTGATATTATTGGATGTTGGTAATAGATCTGTCCCAAACAAGATATCAGGAGCATCTCTTTTCGTACTTTTTTGAAGACTCATGCAATTTGAACAAACCACATTGAATATTTTTGTAAAATCATGTTTTCAAATATGTTGTTTCAACAAAGATGTTTTATCTCACACCTTCAGTTCAAATTGCATTACAGAAATCTTCAAATCAAATTGTCAACATCCTGGCTCGAGTACAAACATCACAGAGCTCAAACTGCGCCAAAGGAAATTTGATTTGGGGAAACTAAATAAATCCACCAAATAATGCGAATGAGAATTGCGGGAATAATAGAAATAATGTCGGTTATTGTTTTTCTTTGGCGTGGATTTGTGATATATTGTTAGGTTTTTGATTGGCGGAGTTTTTGATGGCTTTTATTCGATTTGACTTTTGTTTGTTATTATTACTGAATATATAGAATATGTCTGACGCTAGAATTTGAATCAGAATAATACATAGAAGTACTTTAAAAATTCTTAATCTTATAAACCCTTGTATTAAATGAAATAAAAGTATGAAATCCCAAATTACTTTCTTGCACAAACTATTCAATATACGTTGTCAATTTCTTTTTATCCATATATTTAATTTAATTTTCATATGCTTCGTCTTCATATCGCACTGTTTTTAAATTCTTATTCCTTATTTGATTCTTTCATTGATATAACTTTCATTGCTTTGACGTTACTTTGAATTAAATTGAGACGAGTCAAGCTGTGAACGTATGAAGAGCTACTGAAAATACTTTTAATAAATGTAGTGGTTACAGAAACATGTAACTGTCTCTAAAAATTGTTTATATACTATTTTACACAATTGGCTCCATGTAAAGACTGAATATGAACTAAGTTGTCAAGGCTATTTATTACGGCTTTGTTATTTTTATTTTTGAATTTTAGTATAGGTATATACTTTGTGTTTCCTCATATAAACCTACAACTTGTTCATTTCATCTCATCATTATTAAGTTGTGAATGTTATAACATACTGATTAGCAATTATTAACTACACTTTCAGATATTTGGCGATGTGTTAGGAATGAAAAAAAATATACAATAATAACTGTTCCATGAATATAATTGTGTAACAAAACAAAATATTAAAATATTATAAATGTAATAAATTCATAACGTCATTTCAAATATCTTGTTACACAATATATTTAAGACATATTAATCTTCATTCCATTTATAGTCTATTCATAATTATTTCCTTGTCATGAAATCATAAAAACTATTTAAATATATAGTGATAAAATAAAATAATACGAGATAGTTAGAAGTCGATTTATGAATACAAACTATGCTTTTTTATATAACCTGACTTTAAGATGATATGTTATATGTTATAACTTATTGCAGTACTACAACCAAAAATATAAATATTATATGAAGCATGTTTATTCATTACGTTTCATAGCTGAACTATTCATCCGATCGACATGAAATTTTATTCAAGTTTTATCCGGAATATAAAAAGGCATAAAGTAACCTTTATTCATAAATGGGGTCTGTTCTCAAGGGAGGGTAATAATAAATTTTAAATGTATAAATCAATATGAAACATAAAGGTGGGGTCACGATAATATTGAACTTATTTTTATGTGATTTTGATATAATGTAACACATGTTTACTGAACATAGCTGGTAGCAAGAGCTTTTAAATAGTTTATCTCATTATCACACCTATTGTATGTTCTCGATAAATGTTAATAATATCATAATTAAAACAATATATTGTTAGATGTAGTTAGTAGAAGTTAAGATCGTTGACGTGTTAATCGGTTTACGCTCCATAAAGTCCACTCGTACTATTCTATCAATGTGAACCAACTGATTCATCTCCCTTCTAGAAATCAAAGCACACATGAACAAGAGTGTCCCTGTGTGAGTGTGTTAGTGTGTGAGTGAGACTCGTGTCATCACATCCAGATCTACGCACACATACAACTTATTCTTGTTATGAACAAACAGACAGACAGACATCTAGTTTAGTAAATCAGTTCACTCACATAAACATAATTATCTTCACGCGCCATTTGTCGCGATTTACAATTTATCTCATTGTGCTAGAACCCTTGGAGGGTCTTGATGTATGGCGGCATTTAATGGTTTTAATAACCGTTAAGTAGATTTTAACTTCATTATATAATTATTCCTCGTTTTTATCATTTGAGTTAATATAACTCACAACTTTGAAATCTCAACACGAAATTTGGGTAAATTGTTCGTCCTTCACGTAAGGTGTTAATAAGTTCATTTATATTTATAAGTTTTATTATGTGTCAATAATAAAGGATGAGACATGTAACCGTATGTATTGTAAACTGTAACAGCGATGGTCAAACATGGCTAAGACGAGGTTTATTCTTTTAAGAATGGTTTATAAAATAAGCCGAAACCTTTTACGTCAACATACTTTTTGAATCCTTCTCCTATTTATTTGTCCTTATTCATCATGTTGGTACATTCTAAGAAAGATTGATATAAAATTCCTTCATAAGTATTCTCCTTATACAGCAAAAATGATTTGCTTCAGCAGAAAAAATAATACAGACGATTTATCGTCCGTCAAATATAGTTGAGATGTCCAACCATCCATAATTCGAATACTCTCGATGACAGATCGGGTAATGGTCTGAATATCATGATATAATATTGAAACAATTCAATAAATCTGAAGGAAAGAAATTGCTAATAGATTAATCCAATCAGCCGAAAAGCTATAAAGCGTGCAGACCGTGTTCGACCCTCCTCTTGGCAAATAAGATCGTACTTAAGCACACCGTACGCTTCCAACGAGTGTGTCACTTGAAGTTTTTTATTATGTATTTTGTTTTACTTTTGAAAATCAAAAGTCGTATTGTTTTAAGCACGTTCTGTTTGCATGCAACAAAATTAATTTTGAAAGCTATTTTAATAATTATTATATACTATATACTAGATGAATGAAAACATTTATTGAATGTAGAAAGTAAGACAGATTTTCAAGGTAATTTGGATTTAAGCAGGAGTTTTTGATAATATTATTTAAATATACGGGAATCAACCTTAAGACCTTTTCATATTAAAAGAATATGAAGATACGCTATGCTATTAATGTTTCGTTCTCAAATTAAAACAAAACAAAACTTAATTTCACCGTATAGTTTTTTGTTTCGAGCGATATTAATGTAATATATGGTTGGTGTACTCTAAGCCTCCAGTGTGTAGACGGCCTATAATTTTTGTGCCCCATTGCCGTTCTCGCCATGCGTTCAGGTTTTCCTCAGGCGTGCGCTCGTTACTCGTGTCATTTCACCAGCCTTCGATGTAATAGAGATGAAATAGACCAACAGCTATAACACACCGTATATTGAAAGGCATGTGCACGTTTATACACACATAATACCTGTTCATGTTATATCATATTATCACGACAGCAAAAATCAGTTCTATTATTGGGGCTTTACGATAACTACCACAGTAGATCGATAATAGGAAATGTTATATATTACTTGAGGCCTGCATATACGAATATATCTTTTTACACGCATTGCATGAACCTAACTTTCTTTTTTCAACATTGGAAGAAATGTATTGCTTCATGTCACAAGAACAAGTGCGATGATTGGGGTTGTTATGTGCTCTGGTCAAACATACAAGATGACTTGGACCTTCCCGCTTTCTTGCCGATTTACCTACTAAAATAAGCTACTGTTGTCCTGTACCTATTGAGACATACATTCAATTTACAATTACTATGATGCCTCGGCAGAAGTAATAACCACATGTGGGACGAAATCCCGGGATACACGATCACCCTGGGCTTAACAGCAGTAGCGCGAGCCTCTTCCAGGTGTTTGTAAACCGGCAGTTGCCAGGTCAATTCCCAGATTGGAGCGTTACCATAGTGAAGATGACCGCACAATAGTCCCTGACTATCTTCCAAGGGTCGGTCCGGCATAAGCAACCTCAAGTTGAACGTATAGATGAACCAATAGAGTGTCCGTTGCATATTGACACCTCAATCTGTAACTATACGGCCAACAACTGGGGTGGTGAGAAAGACATCCAGGGTTCATACGGCAGAATCAACTTATGCCCACTTGGTGACAGATGTAACCCAAATCAATCTTATTTTTAGATATAATTTATAATATCTGATTAATTAAGTGTATAACTACCGACTGACGTTATAACGACAATTATAGTAATAAAATTGTAATGTCATCGACATTTTTATTTAAAGTTCAAATATCCAATTAATTATTTTTGTAACAAAAATTCTTAAAAATATAAACGAGGAGCCGAAATAAATAATATATTTTTCATTCACTTTTTAACGATATGAAAATGATAAATGTTGAAGTTATAAAAAAGGAATAAAAATGGCAAAACCATTTCATTGTGATGATAATGACGGGACGATAATAAAATAGCGGCCTTTGTCGATCCGCGGTGCATAAAGCCACTCGAAATCCATATAAAAAGCCGCTAATAAATCAAACGCGAGACAAAAGACCGCCTAGCACCGAAGTGGCAGGAACACTGTACAAATAGCCCAACTACCTTTTGGCATGGCGGCCGGATCTATGAGATTTATCAGTCTGGCGAGGACTGTGATGAACGCAGATGAGTCTGATGAGATTACAGGCTGTGCAGTGACACCAGCTTGACTTCACTAGCACACTGATTGATGACAATATACTTCCGACGGATATCCAACTGTAGCTAGCTCTATAATAATAGAGGTCCGGTTACATCGTCGAGTTTTTTTACCTTTACTTTAACAATATGGATAACATCTTAGATATGTATGTTCTTTCCTATAATATATTTCTGCTCTCTCGATGTAAACTTGAAAGTCATATTTGCTTCCAATCTCAAACTTTGTTTCAAATTCGTCAAGCAAGTTTTTCTTCCGGCATATGTTGCGGTAAGAGTGTTAATATTTCTTGAAAATATGTTTTAATAACTTGCAACATATATCAAGTTTCAAAATGAGTTTTCATATCTGGGAATAAAGTTTAATGGTTTTAACGTTGCTTTTTATTACTGAGAGTTAAACTTTTAAAATCTCAGTGCTGTATAAATGTGGGATAAGTTTGATTCAGTTGATTTAAGTTTTCAAAGAGTTGCACATTTTGGAGTTAACAAAAGGCTGCTTCGCACGATTCTTTGAAGGTATAACTATATTTAAGGTTTCCATTGTAACTACTTTTAATAGCTTTGAATTAAAACGTTGCACTTACAAATACTTTTCGATAGATTTTAGAATTTCTTCTATTCAGTCACGCCACAATGCAGTAATAGAAAATCAAACTAACCCGTTCAGTGGAAGACGTCCGTCAGAATAATCTGACAGCGAAGCCGCCAGCGACGCTGCATCTGACTATTTTGCGTGGATTTAATATTCACTGGCTTTAATACACGTTGAGAGTTGAGAGTGACTCACTTCAACAATATTTAAGGTATTTCGAGTATAATTGAATTATTTCTGATAAATCAGTATGTAGGTGAGGAACTAGCATTAAATAATTTTAAGTATATTATCTTTGAATGAACTTGATTATGTAAAGAAATTTGCACGCCTTTGTTTTTTTTTCTACAACGGAGTTTGTTATTAGACTTTATTAATATGTTTATAGTCATAGTCATCAGCCTATCAAAGCCCACTGCTGAGCAAAGGCCTCTTCTCACATGGAGAAGGTTTGAGCTTTAATCACCACGTTTGCTCAAGATAGGTTGGTGATTTCAAACTTATAATTGTGAAATTATAAGTCAAGGTTTCCTCACGATGTTTTTCCTTCACCGTTTGTCAGTGGTGTCTAATTACTCTCAGAAAGTACATATGACTTTGAAAAATTACATTAGTACTTGCCAGGATCGAACCCGCGCCCTCGTGCATGAGAGGCGGGCCTTTTTAACCATTAGGCCACCATTGACTATATTTATAGTACTTCTGAAATAAAGTTAGATTTTTTTTGTTTTACTTTAAAATATTATTAAATTCTTCAAACACGTAGCTTACACTGTACGTCTCACCGTTTCACCTATGACAAGGTTGACAAGAACAGTTGCATAGTTTTATTAAATCTCGTGCCACGTAATTTCGTCTGAAGCTCAGCATTAAATATCACCGTTTGTAAGACTGTCGTCCGAGACTGGAATTCCTAAGTTTCTTACTGACGCACTTGAATTGTCTACAACTTTGTCTGGAACTTCACATTTTTCAATAAATTTTATATACACAAGTATTATATTACACGGCGGTGTTATTACCTTTTGGTTGCTTTAGATTGTGATTTATTACTTTCTGATAATAATAACAATAGTACATAGTTTTAAATTGATCAATATTCAAACTAAATTTTAGTTTTACTTCTAATATAACGAGTTAAAATAATTTTGTTATAACAAATTAATGTTTAAGTACTGTAAGTTGAGTGATAGTTTTAATAGAGTGAGGGTGTGTTAAGTTTTAATCTGAAATTATAATTGAAGTAACACGCGCGTCTGTTGTAGTAATCCCGCTAAGTACTCCACGAGCCAGGCCTAGCGTCTCCTACAGTTTCATAATTTCAACTTCATTCGCGTTTTTATTCTTTGTTGTTAGCAAGTGACCTATTTCCTACATTGTCCCGTAGCAGGATGAAACATGTTTTTCTAAAGCCCCATGTAAAACCCTGCGGTTAGTGTATTTAAATAGTTCGTTTTAAATACCATTCATATTTGTTAGGTGGAATTTCAAACCCGGTTTATGGATATTACGTTTTCTCTATTATAAGGAGAGAGTAACTTTACAGTGGAATGAAACAACAGTTTTTAGTTCGCATAATTTAATGTATTCATTTGTTTTTTCTCACTCCAGTGAAGCTTAAAATATGGCTGCGTATATTTCACGGATTATGTTTGTATTTGAGATTGTTTAAATACTCCCTTTTAATTATAAAATACGAAATCTGTAGCCATCTTTTGGTAACGAATATTTTTATATTTAATCTGGTTTCTGTTAGCTAGTTAGTTAATGGATCTTATATTAATTACTTACTAGTAATCTTTCACGTATTTATTCTAACTTTGGGATATAACAATAAATATATCACAAAACTCTCATAATATGTCACCGTCAGTACATTGACGATGCAATACATTCCTATTTGCATATCTCATGAAACTTTTCATACAACCGTCGATACAATATAGTGAAGTAAACAGAAACTATTTCACCATTCATACGAGACATACGGCAAACGAACTAAATCCTAAAAACTACAAACCAACTAACAATAGAACACTGACGATCTGGTTTACACTACGACTATAAAATTTACCTTGTTTTACACAAGTTCACATATACTACTATATAAGAATTTACATATTTGGTTACTTTATTGTATGGCGAACGTGGAAAGAATTAGAAAGATATTTCTAAAAGGGAACATACCTGAGGTATTGAAAATCAAACGGGTACTGTATATTATAATTACAAAACATGTAACTGGAACGTAAAATAAAGCGAACTATGTACAATGATAAGTATGAAGCACACGACATCGACTCAATAAATATTTTGCATAAATTAAGAATCCTTTTCATTTTAAGGCAAAATACTAAAATATAACATAAAATACAAAGCGAAATTCACTTATCTTTAAACAATATAGTGCTTAGTATACTATAGTGCTTATACATAGTTGCTATAGTGCTTATACATATGTAGTTGATCTGTTTTCAAAATTTATTATTAAATAATACTAAAAGCTGAGATAAAAACTCTTAAAAAGATTGCAATAATTAGGAAATAATATTAAAGAGAAACTAATGACATGAAAATTATTAATTTAATAAAATAATTATATGACCTAACAAGGTTTTACATTGTTACTAATATAGATTTTATTTATTATTTTCAACTAATTTCTATTCTCCTTAGAACTTAACACGAAATTTGGTGTTATATTTTTACTGTTTGTGAGCGTGTGTGGATGGTTTTAACACTAAATAACCATTTTTCTTGAAATAATGCACTTAATTATGATTCTAGCAGAATATACTGATTATTTACTATGTTAATAAATATTTAATATGGAGCAAATCCGAGTATGGGCATATAGTGAGCGCCGCCGCGGGTAAAGCATGTACGTTAATAATATTATAAAAAGACGAATATCACAACAGAGGTTTATTATTGAGGTTAGAATATTATAACGTACGTTTCATATTTAGAATTTATTTTGTATAAATGTAATATTTTTCTTGGGCATGAAAAAAGGAATATTTTGATAGAAAAAGTTGGTATGTGAAAGTAAATTGTAGTTTCAATAACGGTAACCCTTCAAAGCCTCCGAAGGTCCAGGATTACGACCCTTCGGAGTTATTAAATTCACCCTCATACCTAATGCGCTTAAGTATTTTGCTAATACTCTATATTACACAATGTTTCTTGGGTTTATGAAATTTCCTAATTTTGGATCAGTTTTTTCAAGATTTACGCGATGAATATTCACAAAAGACAGACGAATGTTTAATACAAGCTATTGCTCGAGACGTTATCTATGTGAAATTAGGTTTAAGTTTTAATCATTGCAAAAGTCTTACTTAAATGTTATACTTATTTTTTCCCACTTTTTATGATAATACATATTCATAAGTACCCCACAGAGTACTTTAAGAGATTTATATGTATGGAATTGTGGCAAAGCAAAGATAAAAATGTTTATTTTAAAACTCCTTCCCAATTGTCGTCATATATTTCGCAATTTTATAACTATTCAAATTTTGTACTTTCATACTTTCTCTAGTAAATCTCAATACAATAATGCAGACCAATAATATAATTTAAAGTCTTATTGGGGTAACTCGTTTGATGTCTTTCGAGAAACTGTGACTCAAAACTAGAGAAGGATGTTCGGGCTAACAAAGAATAGAATCCTATGTGCTTGGAAATGGTCTTGTCATTTCTTTGCTCGTTCAATCCATCACAAGTAAGGCGAGCACATCTGCATGACTACA